GGCGGTGCTTCAACTAAACCAACTCTGAGATCCATTCTAATTGAAGTGCCTGCAGTGTCTTGTCTATCAGTATTCCCAAACTTCAAAATGTTGGGACCACCTTTCTTTAATACTAATATGCTAATTGGTGGAGCACATTTTTAACAATTTAAGTTCATCAAATTTACTTCAGTTTATGATTTATATGTGTCTATCCTTTTTTGTGTGTGTGCTTGAACTTAAAGGTTATCTTCAGCTGCTTTAGTATAGACAAAATGAGTAAAATTCTAGTTAGCATTACAAAAAATAATTTTAGCAAAAGTGCCAACTCTTTCAGTGGGATTTTTTAAAGCTTTAAACATGTTGCCAGGATTTAACTCATCTGGGCATTAATATCCATTTAAAGCAGTTTGACTGAATTGGTTGTGATCAGGAAGGCTCTGGACAATTAACAAGTTTTTGACCCTTTCAGTAGGTTTCAGGGCCAGATTCTTGGTGTAAGGTAGTGCTTCTCCTTCTTATAGTCCATCACTACACTAACTTAGGAGGAGAATCTACCCATGTGCCACCCATGTGGCATAGTATGGGTGGTTACTGTGCCATGCTTTAGTACTTCCATAAAGTAAGTACTAAATCACAGCACCACAGCAACCTTGCCGCCTGGTGACATGTAGATGCACCCAGTATTTAACAACTGCACCATCATGTAGGAGCTCTGTCATTTTGAAAGGAATCATACTTCTCAAACAGGCTAATGTTATGGACACAACCATCTTCCTTGTGGATCTAGTCTTCATTGCAGTCACTGCAGTTATCCCCCATGGATTTTATTTTGTTTTGGAGCATGCACCAAGAAAATGTGAAAACATTTAAAGGCAAGACTGAATAAAAGAAATGGGACCTACCAGGGGCCAGGTCACATTCATGAGATGCACACTTTCCATATCAAAGCGGATGGCAGCTACCTTCGTTGCATCACTTCCACTTTCACTTCATTCTGTAAGGGTACTGCTGAGGGCTGGAATCCTCATAAGGAGCATAAGTGAAAATTGGGTGAGCCTGTATTAGCTGAGTTCAAGCCAGAAGCAGAGGATAAAGATCATGACCATACAGCTCAACTAAGATTAGGCAGAAAGACAACACATCACAGAATTGTTCTTCATTCCCCATACATGGTATCGAGATCCCTGTGAGAAATGCCTGGGGGTGGCCACAGCTAAGAAGTATGAACAGAATTCTATTTTAGTGCTAAGATGTGCACGTAACACTTACAAATTTTGAGGTGTCCGAGCAATTCTTTTTTTTTACTTTTCATAAAACCTAAATTATGCTTACCCTCCTCAATACCTTATGCAGCCATGGAATTGCAGAAGTGTCTACATCCCACCACTCCCACTCCCACACATACACCAAGGCGGGTAGACTGCACTGCCAAAGCAGCAGTGAGGAACTTTTCTTAAGTCTCTCAAGCAGATAAGGATCTTCCCTCTTCCCTTTTCTTTTCCTCTGTGCTTGCTTGCGCATTCCAACCCTTCCCCTTCCCCATTTCCCCACCTGCCACTGCGATTGTCCCCAGATGATACAGGGCTGGTGGGGGGAGCATGGCTATAGAGATGTTTCTGCCTTGTTCCAGCCAGGCTTCATATGGAGCAAGGTTCAGCCAGAGACAGCAGCAACAGGAGTGGTTCCCTTCTCCCACACCTGCTCCCAATATGAAAGGAAACACCTCCGGGGACCAGAAAGGAAAGAGGGTCTGCTGCTTTTGCTGTTCTTTTTTCAACCTGACTGTAGATCTTGGCTGAAGTGTGCAAAAATGGCTCTGATTCTCCCCAGTACCTGAGCATACATAGTCATGTACCTGAGGAAACAGGGGAAGTGAGAAGGGGAGTCTTACTTGCTTTGGGCATTTAAAAAAGGTCCCCATCTGATGCTCCCATGGTATGTTTGATTAAAAAGAGGGTGCATCTCTGCCACTGGATCCACCCCGGTATGTAGCTACATTGTTATGATACAAAGCTAATATTTTCATAGCTCTACAGGACTGGAAGAGATTCAGTGCTGTGTATGAAGCATCCAAATCCATCTGTATTCCAGTTCAACTTCACCTTGGATTTGCAGAAATGCTGTTTAAACCCTGAAAATTGTTGGCAACCAAAAGGCATGACTAGACACTGCTTTTGCCCAATAATTATGGAACCAGCCCAGGAGACAAGAGACTACGGTGTATGAACTTCTCACATCACAGGCTGGTACTTCAATCACTAGGATCCAAGCCAGAGAGCACATTCCAATTTAAACCTAGCCACTAAGCAGCCAAGAGGAAAACAATCATAGGAAAGGATTAAGCAAGAAAAAAAGTGATTCCTTACTTTTACTGTTCATTGTGCATTTTGCATTACAGTCATGAGGAAAGTACTATCTTACAGCTGAGTTATTAGTGTACTGAAACACATGTGTAAATGGTGACCAGGGCTGGTTGGGGCAGGAGGGTGCTATGATGTGGGGATGCCTTCCAGCTAGAATGGGTTACCTAGAGAGGTGATGGAATTTCCATCCTTGGAGGTTTTTAAGGCCCGGCTCAACAAAGCCTTAGCTGAAATTATCTAGTTGTGGATGGTCCTTCTTTGAGCAGGGGTTGGATTAGATAACCTCCTGAGGTCCCTTCCAACCCTAATTTTCTATGATGCTATGATTCTATTATTCTATGTTAGACAAGTTATTGGGAACACATGCCCTTTCTCAAGTCTGGAAATGAAGCAGGTATAACCAAGGATGAAAACTAGGTAGAACAGATATTACCAAACACATCTCATTTCTTATATGCTCCCTTGAGCAAGGGTCCTCAACCTTTTCAGACCTGACACCCTTCATTTGATTTGAGGCATCACTTGTTTGACTCAGCGCCCATCCATAACTTTTGTAAATTAAGCAGCACCCCCTTTGAAACAGTAATTTATTTATTATAGTGCTTATCTCCTTGAGGAGGGTCTAGGTAGTAAGGGCTGGGCAGTGACCAAGCAGGGGTGAACCTGAGTTTGCACTTATCTTCTCACATATGCTTATCTCCTCACATCCTTCAAAATATCCCCTCATTTAGAATGACTGTCCAAGACCATTATAGCTATAATAGTACAACACTACTACAACCTGCGAAATATTTAAAACTTTAGTTTGGAAATGCCTGACATTCCTTCCATTATATGCATTTATTCACTTATTTCTCCTCCCCCTCCACCCCCAAATTGAAAGCCCACTTCATTACTTACAGCTAGAGACCTGTTAGTGAATACATTTCTATAAATAATGTTACCTGTTTCAACATCACTTTCCAAAGCATTGGGTAACCCTTTAAGCAGATACACAGTAGGTCTTCCAAGTATTAAGTCTGCTGCATCATATATATGGTCATTCATAAGTCAAGCATGAATTCAAGATATCGAGTCCAGTTTTACACAGGGGCAGATATAGTATTTACTAAAGGAAGGTGTGGTGTACCACCCTTCAGATCAAAACCAACAGTTGTGGATCCACTTCTGGTTTTCTATATACAAATTACCTATATGTCTATATAAATCAAAAAGGATCTGCATTCATGAAGGGGAGAAAGGAGGAATTGGGTAACTATAGGCCAGTTAGCCTTACCCCTATCCTTGGCAAGACCTTTGAGAAAATTGTTAAGGATCATGTTTGTGGGGGACCAGCCGGTAAAATAATGCTAAGGGGCAATCAGTGTGGGTTCATAGCAGGCAGATCCTTCCTCATTAACCTGGTTTCATTTTATGACAGGATCACAAAATGCTGGGCTGAAGGAATAGAGGTAGATGTTATTTACTTAGATTTTAAAAAGGCCTTTGACACAGTGTCACACCCAATTCTTATAAGTAAACTAAATGGTTGCAATGTACATTATTGCACAGTCCAGTGGGTAGAAAATTGGCTTATGGGATGCACCCAGAGAGTGGTGGTGGATGCATCAGTTGCTACCTGGAGAAATGTAGGCAGAGGAGTCCCCCAAGGCTCTGTCTTGGGACTGGTACTATTCAATATCTTCATTAGTAACTTGGACGAGGGAGTAGAAAACACCCTGTCCAAGTCTGCTGATGACAACAAACTATGGGGGAGGTAAACAAACTAGAGGGCAGGGATTGAATCCAGGCTGATTTGGACAGGCTGGGGAAGTGGGCAGAACAGAATAGGATGCAGGTTAACAAGGATAAGTGTCATGTGTTGCACCTGGGGAGGAAGAGTCATCAACACTCCTATAGCCTGGGAGGTACCATTCTAAGTAGCACAACTGTGGAAAGGGATCTCAGAGTCATAGTCGACTCCAAAATGAACATGAGTCACCAGTGCAATGAGATAATAAGTAAAGCAAATTTCACCCTTTCCTGCATAAGCAGGTGCATCACAAACAGGTCTAGGGAGGTGATATTTCCCCTCTATGCGGCATTGGGCAGGCCACAGCTCGAGTACTGTATCCAGTTTTGGGCACTGCACTTCAGGAGGGATGTGGATGGCCTGGAGAGGGTTCAGAGGAGGGCCACTCATCTGGTTAAAGGCCTACAGAAAAACCCCTATGTGGACCGATTGGGAGACCTGAACCTCTTCAGCCTCCACAAGAGGAGGCTCAGAGGTGATCTAGTGGCTGCCTACAAACTCATCAGGGTGGGGTCAGCAAAAAATAGGGGATACAATATTTACCAGGGCACCCATTAGGGTAACTAGAAATAATGGCCATAAACTGAAAGAGGGAAAATTTAGACTGGACATAAGGAAAACATTATTTACAGTGAGGGCTGCCAAAATATGGAATACACTTCCAAGGGAGGTGGTGCTCTCCCCTTCCTTGGAGGTATTTAAAAGGAGATTGGACAGACACCTGGCTGGGGTCCT